ACATCATTTTCTTTCTTCTCATTCTTCCCTTTTTCTTCGAGCTCAATACTTTCCGTCTCAAATCGTCTATAGTCTTACAGTGAATCTTTAGCATGCAGATTTTTATCCCCAAAGATTCTCAATTGCATAAAGACAATTATCGCATAAATCATTACGAGTCTTTTTCACATATGAAATGAATAATTTATTGGCAGTAGATGATTCACACATTATTATATTATATATATAATTCTATATAAATTACACTAGATAGAAATATAATATTGCACTGAGAAAAAAATTTGGTTGCATTAATTAGAAATCTAATAAATTCAAACAGTATGTCTGTTGGAAAATGGGCGAATTAGAATTCCTTTAGGAAATACCAGATGAGTATGATTAATTTTTTCCTATTAAATTTACCAGATTTTCTTGGTAATGATACTAAACTTACAACCAAAATGGCATCACTATATCCATGTTTAATTAATATAAAAGTTTTATACATCCAACTAGAAAATACTTGTAGTAAAGTCTATTAAACGTTCTAGTTATAAGAAATCCAGTCTTATCGCGATAACTAGAAATTCTGCTTGATTTAAAATATTCCATCAGAAACTTATTGATACAATCAAACGATTTTTCTCAGTGTTTAATTGAGAATGAATGTTATTCTTTAATAGCAAATCATTATTTCAATTTTATCCTGATCTAATTTCTCGTTACAAGTAGTTGCAAGTAATTGCGTATCTCCATAGAATTGCATTTAAGATTAAAAGCTCGGTTGATTACTAAATTGCGCCTCTCGAAGTTCACGTATCTCGCGTGAAGGATCTGCGCGATTTTCGTATTCCAGCGATATTATTAGCGAAATCTTGCGCAGTCTCCTCATGACCTTGTAACACTCTAACGAAGATATCATCAGTTCTCGCGTAAGCGCGGAAGTTTTGCTTAACGATGAAAGTACTGAACTCATAGTACGCGAGCCGATAGGGTCTTGGTTAATTGTTCTTAAGGAAAATTTCACGGGCGATAACCAGGATGTCAATCTCGGCTCGCGGAATAAGATGAGATAACTAATAATATTGATAAAAACGTGTCAGAGGCGGAAAGCGTAACCCGGGGATTTTGAAGGATAGATTCGTAACCCGGAAACACGATCGTGCTGTTGATAACGATGGAACGAGGATGGTTTATCTTCTTTCCGCTCTCGAAGGTGATCTGCGGATCAGCCTAGACGCGCCTAAAACTTACATCAAGGTAATGAAAGCTGCTCTATCTCCTTCCTGCTCCATCTTTTAGACGTCTACGTTCCGTCCCGGATATCCGCTTGATCTCTCGCTACTTTTATTTGTTGGCTGTTGAACTTTAGACGCAGGTTTCTCCTCGGTTGTTTATTAAGAAAATTTTCTACGAATATCCGGGCGCGTGATGAGGATGTGTAATGAAAAAATACAACGCGTTTGAGCTACTAATCTCCAATCAAAATTCTATATTCGTACGTTCTTCATTTACGTACACGTATTGACAGTACTTACAATCAGTTTTCAAAGTCTCTTATTCAAGGAATTGATACAGAAAGTAACCGCAAAATTGTGTTTTTTTTCAAGATATTTCTTTAAATTATAAAATAAATTTTTTGATAATTAAAATTTATAACGTAAATAAATTTATAACGTAAACAAATTTATAACGTAAAAAATGCGTAGAAATACAGAAAGAACAACATGTTAAAAAGGTGGAAGTGCTTTTAAATAAAAAATGCAATTGTATTTTGCAATTGCATGTGTGTTTATAGATAATTGCAACGCTTAAAAAGATACTCTGGTAATATTATTTTATTTTGTTTTATAACTCCTTTTTAAGTTTATGTTATTGATCGGGAAAAATCTGTTCTACTTTTGTGAGATATCTTGTATATTATTTGTAAGGTAAAGTAGTTTGCAAGATATGATATCAAACGTCAAATCTTCATATAAAATATATCGCGTGCAACTATGCTTTTGGCACAAGCGATTTATTTTCTAATGATTGAGACCAAATACAAATGTATCATGTATCGGATGTATTATGCACCAGAAAATTATAGTCAAAGTGGACGAAGTATCAGTCCACGCAGGTGGATTGAAGATAATGTCGATAAAGGCAAAATATAATCACGAGCCGAATGGTAATTGCCATGTTTAATCTGAAATTTTCATGGAAATGATATGCGATCGAACTGTCCAGTTATTGTCATAATTGATATAATTTTGTAAAAGAGGATGTATTAATATAACTCTCAAACGACTGCTTTTATCTGCCTTTATCAGGAAAAAGCGCGTTGTATCAAATGAAATAAAATTTACGTGTCTATTTTTAGATCGTGTAACATATTAAATAATTTATTCCGCGATTCTTTCATTGTGTTTATTATTCTGTCAAAAATTAAACGTTAAATTTTGCAAATAAAAAAATCATAAAATTAAATTTTACGTGTACTACGTGTAATTGACATTTTATATTACCGCGAATGTTATATAGGAAATTTTCACTAATCGGTTCAATTTGATACCACTGTCTATCTGATTAATACGAAAATTCACATTTTTTAAACGCGCTTTTCTCTTATTACGTGGCAACATTACCACCGAATCCAATCTTGCATCTAGATTAAAATTACATTAAAATCGGTAAAATTTGAATTTAAATTACTCCTTTCGGATGCATTCCATATGCTTCAAACACATTTTTATTCGAGACACATTCGCGTACAGCGAATCTAAAGGATAAAAATTCACCAATTTTATTAGTACACAACATTGTTGTGCAATTTTACATATTTTTTTAAATTAATTATTTTTGAGCTCATTTTATGTCTGCTACAAGATAAAAACGATATAACTGACATTTCTACATATGTAATTGTTTCATTGAAGTTTCATATTCGCTTTTTTGAAACACATAATTTTTTGCATTAATGATTAAGTTATTCGCCGGTATTTCTTCGTCGAGGTATATTATTCGCTCGCGGAATATATATACGCGTCTGGGCATTTTCGAGTGACGTGAAATCACAAAATCTGGAAGAGTATGTCCAAACTCATTCCGGTAGTTTTACGCTCTATTTCGTGTGAGCAAACTCACCGGCGATTTTTCACGAAAATTAAATGTCACGCGAAATGAGTGCACGGCACGTCTCCGACTTGCTTCTTGATAAAGAATGGGTGATATTATTCTAATGGCGCCGCGGCCGCATCCTACATGATTCCACCATCAACCGTACTCATCAGTCTTGTATATCGTATGTTTCGTTCTGCGATGTTGCTCTTCGGTAAAACGTGGACTGTATGTTTCTATTAGACCGTGTTTTTGCGCGCTACGGTTGTTATTCAATAAAAGGAATTTGATATGTCAGGCTATACATTTTGCGCAAACTTTTTCCGCGACGGTCGTATTTAAAAATTATGAATCCCAGCGAAAAGAAAAAAAGGAAGAAAAACGACGGTGCGCGATGCAATGTAAATTACACTCGACTTTTTTTTAAACTTCCTCGATTATTATTTATGGTATTTATTTAATTCGTGAAAATTGCTTTAAATCAACTATCGTTTATTTGCGCACCATTGTTTTTCTTCCTTTCTTCCTTTGGCTGGGATTCATAATTTTTTTTGCGTGCGTATGATTAAATTGAAAATTTTTTTATACATCATGAATATGAGATTAATAATATTTGTTACGTTATTTTTGCGATATCAGTAAAATGATATATGTAAGTCTATAAAATATTTGAATATAAAATATGCGAGACGAGAGATGATTTGGTATGTCAGGCTACACATTTTGCGCAAACTTTTTCCACGACGGTCGTATTTAAAAATTATGAATCCCAGCGAAAAGAAGAAAGGAAGAAAAACGATGGTGCGCGATGCAATGTAAATTACAGTCGATTTTTTTTAAAACTTTCTCGATTATTATCTATGGTATTTATTTAATTCGTGAAAATTGCTTTAAATCAACTATCGTTTATTTGCGCACCATTGTTTTTCTTCCTTTCTTCCTTTGGCTGGGATTCATAATTTTTTTTGCGTGCGTATGATTAAATTGAAAATGTTTTCATACATCATGAATATGAAATTAATAATATTTGTTACGTTATTTTTGCGATATCAATAAAATGATATATGTAAGTCTATAAAATATTTGAATATAAAATATGCGAGACGAGAGATAATTTTTTTCGATGATAACATACGCTTCACTCATGATTTTTATATCATGATCGCGCTTTTTCATAGAACATTTATTTATGCATTAATGCGTATGTACCATAATAAGGTAACATACCAATATTTCACGAGCGCTGTTTTCAATTTTATCTGACTCGCGATTGGCAAAATGATTTTGATCATGAATGTTATATTTATTCATGGCAAACGTAGAGAGAGAGAGAGAGAGAGAGAGAAAGAGTAAATTATAATCCCATTACAAGCAATAGCATATAAAAATATAATAGAATTGCCAGCTCGCAACGTGGAAATAGAATATTATTTTTACAAAGTTTTCAAAGCGGAAAAAAATAATCTAACACTGTTAGAGAAGTCGACACTTGGATAAAATGCGAATATCGCGAAATTTATGGAATGGATTCGCGTTATTGCTCGATACAGATTATGTTTTTTTTTTCTCGATATTAAATCGCGGTGTCGCGCGTGTACAATAATTGCAAAGAGGAATAGGTCGTCGAATGAGGAGACAATGCGTGGCGCCGGCAGAACGTGGCGCGCGAGAGGGTGAAGGAGAATAGACAGATAGCTGGCGCGAGGGGGTGAACTACCCCCCTGGACTAAGAAAAGTCGAAAATCTTAATTCGGGAGCGGTGCCGCCCCCGCAATGCGATGGGCGGCGACTCGCGCGCGCCGATTGGCCTGATTCGGGGAAAGGGTGAGATGCTCTTGTGTACGGGGGTGGCTGAGATCTGCGCCGTGATGCTGGGACGGCGCGGCGTGTGTGCCAGCAATGTAGTCTCCCTCTACGAACACGTTTAGTCGACGCCGGGCGTCCCAAGCGCGCACTTGTCGGGAGCAGCCGTCGTTTCGTGTTCCAAGCCGAAGACATGTAACTCTGACATAAGGCTCGTCGCGGTGTATCACGCGTGTAATATTCGCCAAACCTCGAGCGAACGTCTCTCCGAACGAAAGGACAGAGTTTCGAACGAGCCTCGACGATAGACGTTGCACGTGAAAATCGAGCATTTTCTTTTTCGCGACGCTTGGGACACGTTTAGGATGCATTGGACCGACATAATTTTTTACAAAATTTTGACATAAGCTCTGCGTGAATGAGAGATCGCGCCGGAGATCGTTCGCAGGCAGCGAGTAGTGCTGTAACGCTCGTTCCTATCGGAGTCGCGAGGAAGAGTGTCTTTGGAGTAATTGCGAGTGAATCGAGAGACTTTATCGGGGTGAACCGATAGAATGCGAATGAGGATCTTGTATTCGTGACATCGGATTTGTTAATCGGATATCGGTGATGCAGCTACATGCTGGAAGGAGGAAGAGGATGACCGTTAATTTTCTATCAAGGATGGTGGCGGTATTTGTTTTTGCTTGTCTTCTACTGCAGAATGGTCGGTCAACATTCGCAGCTTATACTACTGGTAACGTTAAATTTACTTTACTCATTGAAATATTATCTCTCGAGAAGAAAGCATAACCAACTGTCAATTTATGATTTACCGAGTTATTATTTATACTTATTCATCGCTATTTATGCGTTTCACGGAATAATTTAGAAAAATGTTTTGTCATAAAAATAATCACAATATATAGTTTCTAAAGGTATCAAAGTATTATAAAAAATTTATACAAATTTATTATTCTTATTTATAAAAAAGATGCAGCCTCTAACATTTAGAGAGATTTTTAAGACACATAATTGCAACAATTTGTTTTTTTTTAATAAAACGAATTGTACTTCTAAAATATATTAAAAAATATAATGATATTCATGTTTATTATTTTATAAACATTACTTTTTCAGCAATATTTTTCTTATTATTGTTTTAATTAATAATAAATTATATCATTATTTCGCAGAATAATAATTCTTGATATTTTTGTCGAGAAACAAATTAAAATATTTTATTTTTGGTAAATGAAAATTAATCAATTCTTATTATTAATGCTTATTATTTTATTATTCATTTTTAGTATTAATTAAAAATGACTGTTTATTGTATATTTCAATTTGTTTTTCGACAAAAATATCAAGAATTATCCTGCAAAATAATGATATAATTTATTAATTTATTTATTATTAATCAAAAATAAGAAGAATAATATTGCTTAAAAAGTAATGTTTACGTGAGTTTCCTTTCATCGATATATCGAAAATTAACATTTTTTTTTATATAGCTTATAATAAAAATGATAGATGAATGAGATGAAAAATGGTATATTGATATTCATATCATTTATAATGCTATCCGGAATGTATATATCATTTGCTTTAGAATAATGCTTTGATTCTGTCATTAACTATATACAATCAACCGACATATATATCGTACAAACGCATGACAGTCTAAATATAAACTATCTACCATATATCCCTCTGATGTCTCCCATGTTTGTTTGCATGGTGACTTAAACGCATACTATCCAATCCGCACATAATCTCGGATTTAATTTTCATCACGTTAAATCTGATACTGACAATGGTATCGATGCATTATAGCATTGCATACAACGTACATACATTACATACAACGAATTATCTAATTTACACTGAGCGATCGATGTAAGCCAGATATATTTTTAGAAAGAATGATCCTTTATAAAATTACATGTATATTTAATATTTAATTTAAAATCTCCCCTATTAAAATATTTCGAGAGGACGGAGAATGAATTTTGTGAAACATAATGCTCTTCATTTAATATATGATATATTTAACAGTATATGATTACATATTATTTTAACGTTCTTGCTCCGCTATTTTTTTTTTTACGAATACAATTTGCTAGAAATCTCGAAAAAGGTTGCAACGTGATAAACTGTAAAAAAAAAATCTTAAGAACATTTAATTTATAAGATTTAAAATATTCGTAAATCGCTATTATTCTCGACGAGAAATGATTCCATTTTGAAAGCATATTACGCATGATACATAATAATATAACAATACAGATAATATATCACGTATTCATGCACACGTAACGAGGCGAATAAAGTTAATATATACGCATTATGCACTCGTCTTCTCTTTGAGCAATTGAGATGATGATCGTCGCGCGCGTTCCGAATGACACGTCTTTTCGTTCTCTCCCTCTCGTAAGCGCTATCACGAAAAAGCTGCTCGAGGGGTTCTAATACCGAGCTTGCTGAAATTACGCTTCAATGGCGAAATTGCGCTAGGAATGAGCTACGTCCTCAGCGCGCGTGCTCCACATGCATAATTCATAAGCGGGGCGTCACGACGAAACCTCGGGCGATAAATATTTTTTGAGGACGGAAGGATGTAAAAGTGCATGCAAATGAATCTCTCACTGTAATGCAGTGGCTACTACTTACACGGGTATTAAGCTCTCGGCGCCCCGGCACACTTTTCTTTCCGCGCGCACCCTCGTCTTTCGCTCCCCCCCCATCCCCCTCCTCTACCTCCCCCTCCCCCTTTTCGCTTCATTATTTTGCGTATACCACAATTAAACGGCGGGAGCGAATAAAATTTTCGGAAGTGCCGGAGTACGAAAGCAGATGCAAATTAATGCCTCTTCCCCCGGTACCGGTGTCGTTTACATCACGCTACGCGCCTCATCGTAGCGTGCACGAAAGTACGTTTTTCTTCCTTTACGTTCCGCTTTTCTATACGAGCATTTATGTCGGAAATATATTATCGCGTGTAATTACATATACTAACTTTATACGCAAAATGTATCGCGTAATTTCAGATACGGGCTTTATATGTCGGATGTTGCGTTTAGATATATCTTTATTTTATTTATGTAATCTCATTATGTAGAAACTTTACGAATTTAATAGAACATCAACGGTGAGTTCCTTGATGTATAATAATTTATATTAAATCTTTATTTATATTTTAAATCTCCATATTTTTTGTTTAATATTTTATTTTATGAAATAATTCATATTTTATTTTATAAAGAAATTTATATTTTATTTTATAAAGAAATTTTCTCAGATACGTATGAACTTCTCGCAGGCATTTGAGAATGTGTTTTTAAAAAACCCTTGTGCGATTGGATTCGAATCCAAAAAAATGTACATATTAAGCTATATTAAATAACGCGGTGATATCTAAATCCAATTGTCTTTACGGATCTACAGATTGCTGGTCCTAAAAACGGGTCTGAGTGGCCATTATGGGTGGTGGCCGCGTGGGATGCGAATTTTATACAGTGGTCATTCAATTCCCGTGTTACTGCCTGAGAGCGTAATCTCTTAGGTAGCTCCGCGCGTGTCGGATAAAGACAGATAGACAGGGGCGCACGATCGAGAATATGGAGGGTACCCTCATTGTCCTCGTATCTGATCGCAGCGAACGACTAATAAAACCACTTTACTCGCTCACTGCCGATTGCCTCACAGTCGTTACATTTAATGCGTAATATACTCGAGTCTTTGATATCCACTTCGCCGCCGCTTATCTAATTTCGATGAATTATCGAAGAAATTTTGATAACGATCGAATCGAATATCGCCTATTGGCCTTTTTTGCACTCGTTTCCGTTTGTAGAATCGTTCATCGTCGCCGCTCCTCTATTTCTGGCCGACATTTGTCTTCCCTCCCATTTCCACCCCTTCGCTCTTTCCTTTTTCTCCTTCCTTCGCTCTTTCTCTTTCCTCTCTTTTCTGTATCAGAGGGGCTACGCCAGTTTCCCAACTGTTCCCCGCGAAATTATCTCGTAGCCTAAGGGTTGCCATCTGTTTCGATGGGGGAAGCCACCCCTAATTATGTACGGCGACAGTTGTAAGAGCGCTAAATCTAATATCTAATGTCCGCACGAGGTATATGCGTTATACGTGTCGAAAATACGAACAATTTCCATACATTTCGACCAATTGTTCGACCTCGCAAGAGACGCTCATCCCTTCCTATAGATAATTGCGACTCTAGTATAGGGAAGAAGGAAAAAAAAACTGCCTCCCTCGTTTCTCCCGATTCGAGATTCCATACGTTTATATTTAACACGTGTTATAACACATAACGTTTTCACGATGTAGCTATATTTTATAATGAATTATTAACGCACGTGTGCGCGGTAGCGCAATCGTATTCAAATTGAAATTCCGTTCAAGTCTACTTGAAATTGAAGAAGAATAAGGTTCTTGCGCTATCGATTTGCAATTTACCTCTTTAAGCTTCTTCGCAAAAATGGGAAAATTCCTAGTCGCTTTGAATTTAGCAACTCTGGCCATGTTTCGACAATTTTTGTTGACAACAAATTTAATGATAGGCGGAAAAACGCGCGGAAAAGCTCCGCGAATGCCGTGACACTTTAATGGTAATGCGCGATTCGGGGGATATTTTTCATCTTTACGTCGTCTTTTTACTATTTTATTGTTATGATATTCTGCAATATACATGCGCAAGATGCACGCGCACGTGCGTCGCGTACGCACGATCGTATGCCATCTGCCTTTAAATGGGTGAGTGGGAGTCGCTTCTGAGCATACACGTATGCCCGTGTACACTTATAAACAGGAAGAGAGAAAGAGAGAGACAGATAGAAGTCTTCATGTTCCGCGCACCCCTGGGATTCTCGCTTCATGCATTTTATATTTCGGCAGACTTTGATTCCTAGACGGGCCACGTGGCTCACGGGAGTAATCCTTAATCTTTGATCGGAAATTATCTTTGATCATGGTTCAGTCATTGGACGTTCTTTCTCGACCCTCTTCTTATCTTCCTGCATCCCTTGGGTAGGTATCTATTCGCGTATGGCGGATACGTCGGCGCTTTTGCGCGAGCGAGAGAGAAGGAAACTTGCGAGGGAGGGAACAGGCAGTTCGAGGAAAAGGAGCCAGGGACTCGTCGTGTAATTCATATTCCTGGCATATAACTTTTTAATTTTTTTTTAGTTATATATTGAAACCGTCTTTACTCTTTTTTCAAGACATATATATTCGAAAGTGTTTCTCCCAATCCATACAAAGTGATTTTCGCAGATATATTTTCCGATACATTTTTATGGAGAGAGATTTGACTTGTCATAAATTTAATAAAATGTATAATTGTGCGTTTATTAAATTTATGATAAATCTAAAGATTTTTAAAAGGACTATTTCTGTAGGTCTGTGTAAAGTAAAACTTAACTTTCGATATTCCGTGTTCTCTCTTTTTTCATGTCTTTCCTCTCTTTCTTTCGCCACTGAATTACTGCAAAAATGCGTATACACATCATTATAGCTGTACTTGACATTCCGAACTCTTCGATATTCCGCACCTTAATCTGTTCGTGAAAGATTTGGTCCCGCGATGTAGTGAAGCAGACAGCGCCAAAGGATGAAAGAACGGTGAAGAAAGGGAAGAGCGAGCGCGCGAGAAAGAAAAGGGAGGAGTGTAGGGTAAGAGGGAAGAGGAGAGCATGTTTCCCAAGAAGAAATCCTCGCGTGAGCGATCTCGACTCTCGGCTT